GCGACAACCACTGCCCTTTAACAGCCGATTGATTATTGACGAAGGCACAGGTAATTACATTGTTTCAAGTAAGATTAGAAAATAAAACAACAAACGACCTGATGGTGGAAATATCATGTGTTTCAACAGAGTTGTCTTGCAATAATAACGCATCACACAAGTTAGTACACACATTATAGTGGACAAACAATAACCTTGGCCATGTTTATATTCTATTCTAAGTGTTTCCTCCACTGTGTTTGGAATTCAAAGTTTAATAGTACCAAATTTTCATCAATGCTGGCCGGTTATACGTTGTGACTGTGAATTAGTAGAGAGTTCCTCTTATGTCACTAAATGATCTAATCTAATGAAGGCCCACCCAAGGTACATGTAGCATATATATCAAGTATCAAATCAATCGATCCAGCCTTATCAGGATGAAGTCAAATAGCATTTTGACCAAAAATATTCTCTAAAATTGGAGAATTTAAGATATAGTCACGAATTATTCAAATCTAAGAGGTCCACACAAGGTACATATATACCACGTACCAAACCAATCGGACTATAAGTTTTCGAAAATAAATTTTTTGGTCAAATATTTCAAAAATATTCATTAAAAATATAGATATCGCCGATAATTTTCGGAGCGGAGCTAATATTAATGTTAAGGTATACTATAAAACTGTCACGAGACCGAGGTTTGTGTAACCAGCTCCTAAGATTTTATACCTGAGTATCTCCAATTGCATTTCTGTATCAGGAGGAAATCTGTTCTTCCCCTCATCACCAAAATCTTCCTGACTTTTTTTCACCACTCGGGTCGTCATTTCCTCGTCAGAACCTCTGAAAAAACAATTATTTAGAGGTTATTTAGATTTGTCATTAAATTGTTGAGGTAGTGGTGTTTTTAATTCATACATATATCACAACACATTATCGTGTTTGTGCCCTGTAAGCAAGCATTCTTACTTCACATTGATACTTAAAGCGGGAGAGTCGTCACCTGCGCATGCGGTAGACGGACATAGCGTGTCGATGTTTACAAACAAGCGTCTACCAAAGAACCTTTGCGTTTTTAGCGTTATTATCGTCGCTTGGGACTCAATTATCGCGCGTGCGCAGGTGACGATCCCTCCGCTTTAAGCGTGGAAAATGTAACACACAGGCCTCGACGTCCCCTCAGGTGTGAAGTGGCATCGGTAATAATGGTTAAGAGTAGGGTTGGATGATTGGATCGTATGTGTTCGTGATTATAGATGGTACTTTATACAACTGAATGTGCGTGAATGACTTTGGTGTTCCGTCTTAATATATAATGGTACTCTCATACTAGAAGTTATCCTTGACATTCCATGCATACTGCCAGAGCGAATACTTTTTTTTCACAGTGTATTAAAGGGCGGTAGTCGTCGCGGATGGAACATCAAAATGAAGGACAGTGTACACTAATTAAAAAAGAAGAATATTAATATAAGGAAAGTGATATAATAGGAAAGTAATAAATTACCCCTATATTTGTGGAGCACTTTCATTTGGGAATATCCTGTTAGCCTAGACTTTCCCTTTAATATTCAAGGCACATTGATCATGTTCATGACATTAAATCCTGATTCGGTATACCGAGCACTATGACAGCTATGTGAAGATTTTGTTACTATGTGTTCATACTAGAATTGTATTAGTGCTATAGTGAAACCAA